ACCGACGGAGCTAGTAGTAGTAATAAATACCTCTCTCTAGATGTGCATTTTGAGGTGAATTAAATTGTGAAAGATGGCCTGTTACTGCACATCATTCTGTTCCCTCTCTACAGTGCGCGCTTTGTGCGCTCTGTCCTGTCATGCAAGCTTTTGTCATGCTTGGTTGGGTGTGTTCATTTTTCAAAAGTCAGTGTTTTAAGGCTGTTAAAAGTAATCTGTTGATTATAGGGAAGGGCATGTGGTGAGGTAATAAGTAAGGAAAACACAGATTTGTTTTAATTTCACTTCAGTATCACCCCAGAGAAGCCAGACACCTTCCAAAAGGATGTGTGTGGGTACATACATGCAGGCACATGCACATATGTACATATATATATATACATATACACATATATATATGTACAAGATTTGACTATAAAACTTGTTTCAATCAACCATATGATATTTTTCACTCATTAAACATTTCCTGAATCATGTCTTTCATGTGTATGCCTTGAAAATTGGAAAGAGCCCGGGTTTCCTTATTGAATTTGAAATAGTTATACAGTAAAAATTGTTAGTTTTGTTTTTTTTTTTTTTCAATAACACGTCTGGTTTCTTGCGAGTAACTCAATCTTTTGGAGAGCTTCCTGCATGGAAGAAAACAGCTAAATAACAGAGACTTGTGTTGTAAAAGAGACGGACAGGATTATTCTGGCAGTGTACGTGCTGGCAGATGCATCGCGCGATGCCAACCGTGAGTCGCGGTCACGGGGGGGGCGGATGACTCAGCGGAAACCACGAATTGGGGACCGAGCGTGGGCGCGGTGCGACCCCCGGCCGGTGCGGAGTGGGTGAGGGGAACTTTCAGAGGGTGTTTGGTAGGTGGGGAATTAGCTCAAATGGTAGAGCGCTCGCTTAGCATGCGAGAGGTAGCGGGATCGATGCCCGCATTCTCCAGTTTCCCTTTTCAACGTTTATTTGGCTGTAAAATAATCAGCGGCTTTTAAAATCTTTCCCCATTCACACTCAAAATTTTCTCGCGTCATGGTGTGAAGAAAACGGAAAGAATCATAATTAAAAACTGCCATGTTTTTAATATTTTTTTTTTTCCATTGTCAAAATCCTATGTTTGTCCTTTTGCGTACAGGGAGGAAAAAATATCATCTTTGCATGAAATAACAAACCTTACTGTCATTTTAATACAATAATAAATGACATGAACAAATTATAGAGAAAAATAAGTGAGGGATTTTTTTATTGTGCCCTTAAATCTTTTGTTTATGGTTTAATTTGTTAGTTAAAATAATATCTGATATTGTAGCTTAGTGTATAATGAACAAAATTTGGTACTTCTGCTCTGAGTTAATACTCATTATTTTTGTTCTATTTTGGTTGTGTAGGCCATTTATTAGAAACGGTAGGCTAGAATATTCTATAACTCTGTTAATCCTGTATCCTTTGTCAGTGAATTTTCACATCTGTGAAATATCATGGAAATTTTCTTTGTAAATCTATTCTTGCACATTTTAAGTCCTCATCTTTTTTTTTTTTTTTTTTTTAATTCTGATTTGATTTTCTTACTTGCTCATTCAGGTATTTAACTGCTTCTGCTTCCAGGTTGAGGCAGTTTGAGGAAATGAGCAAAATATACTTCCTACAAGTACAATGTATTTGTGTAGTTAGGATCTTGAGAGTACACATATTAAAACAAATAGAAATCAGGAAACAAAAATGATGAATTGGGTTTCAAGTTACGGACGGAGGAGATACTGTGCTGCATGGATGTGTAAGTAGCACCTATGGAGAAAGTAAAGGGAGCTTGGAAAACCTCCCATGGCATGATAAAGAAGGAGTTTACCTCTGCATGGTTGGGACAGAAATTGAATTTGCTCATTTCTGTTGTATTTTCCACGTAATGGAGAGAAAAGAGATATTGTGACATTAAGACTGCTAGATGCCTGTTAAAATGAAGCCTTGGAGAGAAAAGTGTTATGGTCTTCAGGAGTGCTCTCTGGGCTCAAGGACTTACATAAATGTCCTTTTGCTTGGAATGAGAGTCTATAGTAGTTTTCAATGTGATTATTATTGCTTCTGTGTTTTCAGTGTTTCTATTATTGCTTAATACCTGACACTTTCTGTGCTTTTAAAGGGGATGAGTAATGTTGCTCTTCTCATCTAATCAGATGCAAGTTGTGCACGGATGAAATGAGAGGATTCAGCGGGGCTCTGTATGGGTGCAGTCAGCAATCACTCGTGGAACTGTGGCTTCTGACTGTAAGCTCTCTGGACTAATGACTGTTCATTACATTTATGCCCAGCTTTCTGTCTCTTAGGGCTCGTAAACAAGCCATGATAGAAATAGAAGAGCTTTTTCTCATCCCCTGTTGTGCTTTATGTCCTTCCCTTTTATGTAAACTATTTTATGAAGAATTTACTGGATGGAGAGGAGCAAGGGTCCTAGCCCCCAGAAACACTACCTGTGGGAGGAAATGACCTGATGATGGGTGAGTAGTTTCCAGAGCCCCGTGTCTAAGGAGTGACTACTCTGGGTCTGTCTGCGCTTTCTGAGCCAGAAGTTGCATAGAGGTATTCTGTGGAAGGAACTGTGAGGGAATTCAGCTTTGTTTGTTTTTTATTAGTATTGCCATTCACACACACTTATGACCTCGGTAATATTGTGCTTAAATGAGTTACCCAAGTGAGTTGTTGTGAAAAATAATTTGTTTGTACTAAACTTGCTGGAAGATACTGTTATCCTATGTCTGTGTTTGTGGTAGTCTGAGAAAGGGGAATAATTATTCCTTACTTGTCTTTTATCAATACTTTGTTCCAACATACTGCTTAGAAAATCTTTCCAGGGGTGGGGTGGATCTTGGGGACCATCATCTGCCAACTCTGGAGACAGTGTTTTATAGCAAGAGGGCTGTCTGGAGAATCTGCACTCAGAAATCTCAACTCTGTGAAATGCATCTTTTAAACACATTTATTCCACAACATGATTGTAGTACATTGTTTTTCTGAGCTGAGCGCACTGCAGTTCTAAGTTTTCTTGTAAGGGACAGTGTGTGATATTTGACAATGAAGTTTGTAAAAGGTTTTCACTGTAATGATTACCATTAGCCTCTTTTGACCAAGTTGTAAGCAGAAGTTGTATTTCAAAGAAGTCTTTTCTTTTTGAGAGAGGTTACTTCATGACCATGTGTAAGCACTTGATTGTTTGGAAGAAAATGAAATTACACCTTTAAATGTGTTCAGCTTCTAGTTGTCAGGTATTTTTCCTCTCAAGTTCAATGTTGCAAAAAGTGTATTTTATCCCAGTAAACTTTCCACATCAGAAGAGTGAAACAAAACAGCGGTTAGAGTCATTCAGCGCAGGGTTCCTCACCTAGGCCAGTGACTTTATGCTTTTCTTCCCTTTTGGCCCCTGTTTTATCTTTATTTCCTGTGGCTGCAATTAGCATTGAAATAATTTGTTGCTGCTAACCCTAAGGTGGGTCCTACATTTAGTGGGTGGGTGTGGACATAGATGGACTGTGGAGTCTGCTGTGTGTGTGCTTTCAGAGACTCGTGGAATGCCAGTTGGCTCTGGCTCGGGTCTCAGAAGACACACAGTTGTGTTATTCATCATTAGCATAGGATCACTTCAAAAAGAAGGATGAATCCTTCTGAAAAAAATAAGTGCACAGCCATTGTGTGCCCACAGGGCTCCTTTCTGGCCTTGGAGCTGGGCAGGTTCTAGTTTTACTGCAAGTAGAAGCAGGGGCTGGGGAAATGTATTTTGCTCCTCCTGGCTACATTCAGGGTGACCACCATGGATAAGGCTTGTGTAGTGCTCTCCAATACCCCTTTTGCACTTGCTCTTGGTCACAAAGAATAGGAAAAGAGGGACAACTCAGGTGGCATTTTTTTTTTCTGTTCAAGGCCACAATATTTTCTACAGTGATGTTATAATAGAGGAGAAAAATCTTTAAATACTGTGACTTTTTTTTTTTTTTTTTTCTGGTATACTCAGTGTTTCCACTAAAATAAATATTGAAATAGGCTACAGAAGAGAATTCCTACAATCAACTTTTTGTGACAACAGAAAGCTCCACCAATCATTAAAATACAGATTAAGAAATAGTTTCACTGTACTTGAAAAGCTTGCTTCTAATTCTGTTGATGTAAATATTGAAACCTCCCGCTTATTCCTGTTATGGAAATCTGGTCAAAACTAGTAACTTTATAAAAGGAAATAGAAAGCAATGGAAGAACTAAAAGCTACGGTAGATCTGTCACGTTTACGTATCTACAGATAACAGCCGCAGCGTTTGATCCACAATGAACTACCAAAGGAAACACGGAGGGAGGCAGGCGTGCAAGGATGCACCTCCTCGTCAGAGGAGAGGTTTCAGGTTAGCTGGGGGGAAAATCATCTGCATTCCTGCTTTTTGATCTCCACCAGAAGATTCTGCAGATGAGTTTAAGCCCCTCTCTCTTTACAAACTGTAAAGTCAAGAATTAAGCGTATTTATAAACTAGGCTGTTAAGAGCAGCCTAGGGGTGTTGTCACTTGTTAGCGACGGTCACTTTCGTGAGAAAGCGCGGCTGAGAGCGCCCAGGCTGCGGGGGGACTGCGAGTCCTCACGGAAATCGGCACCAGCGGCCCCCGCCGCTCCCACAGCTCCTCCCGTTTCAGGCGCGCCCCTTCCCCGGTACCTGCGGCCGGCGTTTCCCTCGCAGCCGTGCGAAGGCTGCACCGGGTGCCGCCGCCGAGGCCCTGAGGCGGTGTCGGCCTGCAGGTTGTGGTTCCCGGGGAGGAGGCGGGAGGCGCTACTGGCCGCGGCAGCTTCCGGCGGAGCTCGGACCTGGTTCCCCGGGAAGCGGCGGGGCCGGGCCCGGTGCTCCCGGCTTGGCGGGCCGGGCCGGGCCTCGGGCCCCGCCCCCTCCCCTGTGACCCCGCCCCTGTGACCCCGCCCCCGCCCATTGTCCCCGCCCCCGCCGCTCGCACGCTCCCGCGCGCCGGCGTTGCGGCTGCCCTTGTTGGGAAGTGACGCGCCGCACCAAGCGGAAGTGACGCGCGTCGCGTGCAGGCCCGGATCGGTGTGGGGGGGGTTTTTCGACAAGATGGCTGGATCCACAGGTCTGTGAGGGGGGGAAAGGGGGGAGGCTCGGTGGGCCTAGGGGCTGGCGCGGGGAGAGCGGGGCGTTGGTCTCGGGAGGCGCCCCCGGAGGGGTCTCCCTTCTCGGGGCGGGGGGCGAGCTGCCTCCGGCGGGAGCGGCTGGGGCGGGGAGGGGCTGTCTGCTGGCCGGGGGGGAGAGGGAGGCCACAGGGCCGGCGGGCCGGGGGGTGCTCCGGGCACGGTCCCTCCCGTCTGGAGGGCAGAGACACCCCCGTGGGAGCCTGGCCCCCGGGGTGAGTGGGGGGAGGAAGGGCTCCGGTTTCCGTAAGGAACGTAGCGGGGTGTTGGAGAACACTTTACCTGCTGAGGGGTAGGAGTGGGTCGATGCGTGAGTGCAGGGAAAGGAGATGTCGTTAGCCTGGTAAAAATCCTGGAGGAAAAAGATCTGTACTAAAGATACATACCCACCGGTGAGTGTAGAAGTCTCGGTGTAGTAGTACCTAAAATAAAGGATTTACTCCCTCCCCTCGTCATGCAGGGGAAAAGGGGCCAGGCCTTTGTGGTATTGTGGGGCAGAGGTACTCCAGGTTGGTGGTGACTGCAGCGTGGTGGGGAAGAAGGGTGAAGCATCTTGCTCTCTCACTAGGCAGTGACTGGAGCCAAAGGGTCTCCCTTATAGGCAGATGGGAGGGCAAAGAGCTGCAAGTCATCCGAGGAATCCCGTATCAGTAACTAGTATAGCATGTGTTGTGCATTTGCGTGGCAGAATATTGTGAAAGGTGGTGGCAAAGAAAGGGACAAGAATATTACTTCACGTACTAAATGCAGAAATTGAAGGAACACAATTACGCTGCTTCAGTTTCATTTCATGAGAGGCCTGAAGCATGAAGACACCTTTCCCGGCACAAAAAGCTGAAGTCTTCAGGGCCTCATTTCACATTATGTCACCCCTGAGACTTTATAAATGGGATTGACAGAGCTCAGGACAGAGGAATGAGCTGACCTCGGTCAGTCGAGAGTGAACATTGGCAACTAATTTATTTCTGCTCCTGATCCACTGGATCAGTGAGGGATTGAGACTCACAAACCAGAAGAAACTCCAGTTTATTCAAACTGATCTTGGTACCTTACTGTTGGTTCTGTGAGGAGAGCTTGGGCAAATTTATTGGGGTAGGACAGTCTTCTCCACTTAGTAATATGACTTTGGGGATGTGGGATTTACAGAGTAGGATTTGGAAAGGTTACAACAAATTGGGGCATAGAGCAGTTCTTGCAACGCTGAAAGAGGAGTCCAAAACCATACATGATTGCCTATGATAAACTGAGCTAGAATGGATATATTAGAGAAACTTAAGTTTACTCAGCTGTGAATTACAGCATTTTATTTTGTTAAAATTTATTGACTTCCCAGTGTCTTAAGTTTAAAAGGATTTTATTATTAGTTTTATTATGCAGCAACTCCCAAAGACTTCAGCTTATGTCTGGGCTCTGACCTGGGATTCCCTGTAATGCACAAGAAGTAAAGTCGGTTTAGGTCATGTGTGCTGTGTATTGGCATTTGCCATCACAGTCCATTCAGTCTGGCTGGTGTGGAATATCAGTTACTAAAAATTTGTGTAGTAAAAAAAGCTATTATCTTCCTAAAGAACATTCAACTTGATAAGAAGGAGTATTTTTTTGACTAAACTTTCTTAGTTTTACTGCTATAAATGCTCTGCACGGTCTTACATGGGATATTTTAAAATCTCTGTACACTGACTTAGTGTGGTTGTTTGTCTCAGAAATATAGCCACACATAAGGTGTGGCATAAAAAGTGGGAGATGTGGAATACTGTGCATGTATCTACTGCAAACAATGTAAAGTGCTGGTACCGCACGTGTACGTTGTTCAAGAAATGAAATCAGTTAAGTAAAATGAAGCAAACAGACAGAATCATCAACAGAACTGCTGGGAAAATTAGTCAGAGCTTCTAAAGCAAAGTACTTATTCCTGTGGAGAAAATGCTGTTGGCTTTGTATTGGTATATACCTAGATGGGGGGCGGGGGGGAGGAGACGGGGAGAAAGAGGAAGGGTGTTTGTTTTGTTCTTTCCATACAGTATGTGGAAATTCAGATTTTTAAGACTTCACACAGAAGAACTACTCTTGCCAGGAAGCTGTGTTATACTCATTTGTGGAGGAGGGAAGGGAATGATTTGCTATAGACATAAGATTTAACATTACCTAGCTCTGTGAATTTAATCTACTCTTGCTATAAAGTTCAACTTAATCCTTATTTATTTCAGAAAAAATGAATGTTTTGGTTGCATGAAGCCCAGGAATGAAATTCTAGCCCCAAGGAAGTCAACAACAAAACTTTTACTAAGGTCAATTGTCTTAGTTTTATCCCATAAATTCCTCCCCTGGGCTCACTTGATCTTTGAACAGTCATGTAAAAAATTATATGCCTTTAACAACAGATAATTTAGTTTGAAAAATAACTGTTCATTAATGTGTGCTAAAGAAACTGTGTATGTCACTGTTATATTGTTGTTATCTGCTTTCTAAAATCACCTATATTGACTAATTTTACATGTAAATATTTCTTGTCCTAGAAATGGACATTTGTAAGCTGCAGTTTAATTGATCTTACAATATTGCAACTCTTTTTGCTTGAATGTGGATGTAGCTTGTTTGTGTGGGTACTGCTGGAGGTCTGGGGAAGAAGGAGTCATTTTTTTTAAAGAGAACAGCTGTTGATATAATTGGCCAATGTCATATTGATTAGCTGGAGATTCATTCTATTAATCTCTTTGAAAATTCAGAGCAAAAGATGTGATTTAAACATGGTTTCAGGTTAAAAGAAATAATTTACCAAAGCATGCCATCTAAAATCTCTTGTGAAAACTTGAGGCAAATAAACAGATCAAGAACATCATTAAAAGAAGTTAATTCAGGAGTTAATTTCTGCCTTTCCATGATTTGAGTTTTACTTAAAATTACTTTATGTGTATAGGATATAGATACATCTATCTAAAATGTGAATGTTTCTTAACGGCAGTGATCATGTCCTTAAGTGGTTAGAATTTATGTGTGAAAAGATGAGAATTAAGGCAGCAGCGTAGTACTGTGCTCTAACTATGGGCTACTGAAGCTTTTGTCTCCTTCCTCTTCAACTGAGGGCTTCAGTAGCTTAGGGAGGGGTGAATAGGACGAAGTTAATGAAAATTCCCTTTGATTTGCTGAAACTGTGCACTCAGGGGAAAGAAAATCGACCGATCTACAGTCAGCAATTATATGTGAGATTCCTGATTTACTTCTAGTATGTAGTCACAAGCAACCTTTTTCGAAAGTATGCTTCATGTCTTTAAAGGAGCACAGCTAGATCCCAAACAGGTATTTTTCTTCTGTAACATCCAAACTTCTCATTTCCAGCTACTCTAAGGATGAATTGGCTTCTTTGTGTGACTTACGTTGCTCATGCAAAACTGTATTTCCCTTTGAATTTATTTATGATTGATTCTTTGAATAGAAATGGCACAATGTTCAATGTAAGTGCCTTGTTTTCTTAACTTTGGCTTTTACTTATATTTGTAAACATTTAGTGGTGGTGAAAGCAGTTTTAAGTGTGCATGACTGCAGCTGTAAGGAATGTGATATTAAAAATGAAGGGCTGGTAGTGGTCTTGAGTGCAATTAGTCTAACTCCCTGAGCTGTGAAGCAAGGACTGGCTGTCTCTCATGGTGCTTGGGGTTTTTGTTGTTGGTTTTAAAGCTTTTTCCACCACCCCCCCCCCCCCCCGAAATCTTCCATTGAAAAGATTCCATAATGTGAGATAGGGTTTTGTAATACTTCCCCTTAAATCCTTTGCAACTCTTCCTCATACTAAATCAAGCTGATGTCTGTCTGTTCTGTGCTTAGTGGGATAGAGATTGATGGATCACTGTACCCTGTGAGGAGACTCCTAGATATTAAGAGCCATTCAGAGGAGTAGTAAAGGAATTTATTAAGTGGGATGTAGAAGTAATGTTTTAAAGACTATTTTTTCCATATAGGAGATGTTATAATTTAAGGTTTGTATCTAGAGAGCTTGTGCATTAAACTGCACAGGTAGGCTTTCCTGTGCCTCTGACCTGAAGAAGTGGGCATTCAACCCTCTTTTTTTCCCTTGTGGAGGAAATAGTTGTCTATTTTTTTATCTAGTATGCTTTACTTTCAAGAATGTATTCCTCCCTCCCCTTTTCTCTGTTATGCCTCCACCACATGGTCCACTTACCCAGAACATGTCCAAGAAGTCAGTTTAAAAGCTGTTTAGAATTTTACAATCCTCAAAGTTTGTTCTGTGCGTTTAGAATGTTAGTTCTGTAAGCACAGACTTCTTGAAGCTGCAAGTAATCAGGCAAAACAAAAAAAGTAAAATCCTGTATTCTGTGAGGCAGCAAGCACTCTGTGTGGGGCATTTTTCTGTCCTGTCCTATGCACAGGGAGTTACAACTGTGATTGTTCTGCCTGCTTAGAAGCATCTTGTCAAGCCACAAATAATTTAGATGTGCTTCAGCTGGGCTGAGAACAATCTAGTTTACAAATTACTTTTAAACTATATATAGACCACCAGTTCTTTCCAATTTTGTGGCATATATAGGCAAGATACTCTGTTTCTTCTCAGAGCTTTGCCTGTACTGTTTTCCTGTCTTTGTTGCTGGTATTTTACAACTGTTTTTAAATACAAGCCCCAACTTAATGTTTTTCTGCCACAATAGCTGTGTAAGAGTATGCTCACAGGCTGAACACCTTTCTTTTGAGATGATAAAACGGCCTACTTTGTAATCTTCTCTTTGTTTGAAATTCAAGGATGATATCAGGTGTAGCATTTAAAGGCCACTATCTAAACTATTATGTACAATCCTGGGAAATTTTAGCCTGGATGAAGATACAGAGAGTGTCAGGAAGATATGCTTTTCATCAGTTGGAGGCAGATGGTCCATACTGTAAACCTAAGCACGGATGAGAAGGCTTCTCATGTGTGAGAATCAGATTTCCA